GTAGCCCATCGTTTGAGTACGATTCAACGGGCAGATATGATATATTTCTTGGAACAGGGAGAGGTAATTGAGTGTGGGACACATAAGGAATTGTTGAGGCGCAGGGGACGGTATTATGAGATGGTCAATTTGCAGACTTTGAGGTGATTGTACTAGCGACTTGGTGGATAGTTATGGGATATGCGATGGCGTTAATGGCAATGTATATCAAGGGTGTAATGGGAAATAATGGATTCATTTCGAATTTGTACATATTCTTGGAAGGAGTAGCGTTTCATATTTATCCTCGGCGATAACTATCGGAGATAAGATAAGAATCGTCTTCCACTAAACCATATCCATAAAAGTATTTACTGCATCTGGCTAGTGCGGGGTGCTTACCTCATCCACCCAAATGAGCCCAACTTTTTTGAATCAATAATTGCATCCAAATCCCCCCGCAACTTCCCCCTCCATCCCCGTATCTATACCCCCTTTTTCACGCCCACACCCATCACAATGGCTCTCCCCGCCTACAAGACCACCTTCCTAGAGTCCTGCCTGTCGGCCAATGTGCTGACCTTTGGCACCTTCACCCTGAAGTCGGGTCGCCGTACGCACCCCTCCGGCACCCGCGGCATCTAACTTGAAGACATACTGATGGTTCACAGACTCCCCCTACTTCTTCAACGCCGGCATCTTTAACACCGCCTCTCTCCTCTCCGCTCTCTCCACCGCATATGCCCACACTATCATCACCTTCCTCGCCGAGAACCCTTCCATTCCTAAGCCCGACATCATCTTCGGGTACATCCCCCTCTCCCCCCGCTCCCTCACCCCCCACTAACAGAGTCATGTAAAAAACAGCCCCGCATACAAAGGCATCCCCCTCGCCTGTGCTACCCTTCTCGAACTGAACCGCATCGACCCCGCCACCTGGGGCAGCGTGTCGTACAGCTACAACCGCAAAGAAGCGAAGGACCACGGCGAGGGCGGCAACATTGTTGGCGCCGCCCTGAAGGGCAAGACGGTGCTTGTGATTGACGATGTCATCACGGCCGGTACCGCGATGCGCGAGACCCTCAACCTGGTCGCGAAGGAGGGCGGCAAGGTTGTTGGATTCACTGTTGCTCTGGACCGCTTGGAGAAGATGCCCGGACCTAAGGACGAGAATGGAGTCGAGGACGACAAGCCCAGAATGAGTGCTATGGGCCAGATTCGTAAGGAGTATGGTGTGCCCACGACGAGTATTGTTACTCTGGACGACTTGATCAAGTTGATGCAGGAGAAGGGCAATGAAGCCGATATGAAGAGGTTGGAGGAGTATAGGGCTAAGTATCAGGCTAGTGATTAGGGTGGTATAGGTGATTGGTTGGTGGATTGGGGGTGTGGGTTGTGTGCGTAGGAATGAAAAGTTGTATGCATAGGGGCCGGGAGAAGTGCGTAAAGATGGTTACGAGATGTCTAATGTCAGAAATGAGAACAAATGACTCTTTGGCGAATAGTCCTTGTTTCTAGCTGGATTAGTACGGAGAGATGCTGGACTCGCCATGAGGCTAGCACAGTCGGTGGTGCCCATATTCCCAGGCTTGAAGTGGCCGACGCACGTTTGGCTGACGTGGTGGTGCATTAATGGGGACTATGTCGGCCTCTATGGCGTGCTGCAGTCAGTAGAGCTCGGACTGTCGCATGCACTATGACGCCCTAAGGGAATCTACTACTACTTGGTCACAGGAGAACTCCTGAAAAGGGTGCGTGGGTGATTGACACGGTATTCCCCCTGTATATTGTTCGAATCACGCGGTTACTCTGAACATTTATCGTGATCAAGGGGACAAAAAAGCCAACCTGATAACTGGCGAATTCTCGCACAGATCATGTAGTCAGCGCAGAAGCGCCCAAGTGGATGGGAATCGTTCTCATTTACAAGATTACTTTGAAAAATCCTCGATATTGAATGTCTGGTAGTCTGGATGATCTTTCCTTTGATTTCTTGGGCGAGCTTTCCAGAAGAACTCAGTTCACCAACTGATTCTCTTCTTGACGGTGGTTGGGTTTGATACAACGACCATAAAACTACTTTCAACACGGACTAGATTATCATCTGCATGCTATAATTTCAATGAGTCCTGAATTGGAAGTGGATAGCTTCAAACTTATGCGTATCTGTCACCGACAAGTTGGAGGTAGTGTTGATGCGGTTATGACAGATCTATATATTTGACGGTAACTGTTATCCACTACTAGATACCCTGCTGTAACTGTTACCGCCCGCTATTACTTTGTAGTGGCATGTCAATCGCAGAATGGTCTCGGCCCGTGTTCTGATTTCCGGTTTCGCTTCTAACCAGTGATATATCGGAGTCAGGCCCTTTGTTTCTTGCAGGATTCTGTTCGGAGTTTTCTCGAAGCTGAGCAGTCCACCTATCATTTGGCCTCTCGGGATAATCTCGGCACCGAACCATCTCCGAGATGCAGATTGACGCATGGTAGCTATCAGCCACATTCTGGAATGCTCGTAATCGGGACCTGCCTGTTGCGCGATTAAGCATCCCGTCCCTGGTTGAGTTGATGGAACTGCAGATTTTTATTCACTCAGCTAGGGGATGACGTGTTTCGATGCATTGGTGTTACTGCAGTGAGATTGACTCGGAGCTTCGTGCCGTGCAACATCGGTATGGTCGTACAGCAGGTAGATTGCTGTCACTCGATTGATGCACTCGTGATTTACCTTGTGTAAAGAAGCTCCCTGCTGTGAAACCGCACTTGTGAAGTAACAGGGTAGTTCAGCTGTGGTGTGACAGACACAGCTGCGGCTCTGAGATAAACCCATGCAATCTGGATTATCTGGATTGCCCCTGACTACTTAGCCATCTGTTAACCTGGAATGTCAGGTTCATTGTAAGGGTTGAAAGGAAGAAAATTTCTCACTTTTGACTGTAGCTAACCTGTTTATCAGGTCTATCGGGAACGGCATCAGCCCAATGGCGGCACCGGCGATAGCTCGGCATCGGAGATGGATCGGCGTGTCATATACATGGAAACATCGGATTAAGTATATAAAGCCCTACAGTTCCAGTTCTATATACCATCAAAATCAGCTCAACTGCAATAGTCTATTCCATATAGACAATCCCATCTAGAATTAATAATAATTACATCATGTCATCGACACCAGAGCCGGCCAATGGCCCATCCCATCCCACCCTATACAGGACAGAAACGAGGCAATCCCTCGAGAACCGCGGAATATCAGAGAAAGCACCACCGACAGACTACAACTATCCCGATGTCGGTAGAGAAGAGGACCCTGTCTTCCCAGAAGAATACACCGTCGAGACCAACACCGGCCTTGTCCCCGAACGAACCCTCGAACAGATGCGCTCCCGCACATCGTCACATCACACATCAAGCTCCGACATCGAGAAAGCCAAAGAACCAGCAGAATTCGTCACCTTCACCATCAATGATCCCGAGAATCCCTTTAACTGGTCTCGTACATACCGCTGGTATGTTACAATGATCGCCTCTCTCCTCGTCGTCTGTGTCGCCTACGGCTCCGCCATCGTCACCGGTGGCCTCGGCCTCATCGAGGAGAAGTACCACGTCTCCCTCGAAGTCGCGACCCTCACCTGCTCCATCATGGTCTGCGGATTTGCCGTCGGCCCTCTTCTCTGGTCGCCTCTGTCCGAAATAATTGGCCGCCGTCCCGTCTACATCGTCTCCCTCGCCCTCTACACCATCTTCAACATCCCCTGCGCCCTGTCCCCCAACATCGGTGGCCTTCTCGTCTGCCGCTTCCTCTGCGGTGTCTTCTCTAGCTCCGGTCTCTCTCTTGCCGGCGGCACAATTGCTGACATTTGGAACCTCGAAGACCGCGGCATGGCCATCGCCTTCTTCGCCGCAGCCCCCTACTGTGGACCTGTCATCGGTCCCATCGTCTGCGGCTGGATCACCGTCGGCGCCCACCGTCTCGACCTCTTCTTCTGGACTAACATGGCCTTTGCCGGCGCCGTACTTATTCTCGTCGCTCTCATCCCAGAGACCTACGCCCCCGTAATTCTTAAACGCCGCGCTGCCCGTCTCCGCAAAGAAACAGGAAACCCCAACATCATCACGGAGCAGGAGAAGCACAAGCTCACCCTGCACGATATCATCCGCACCAGCCTCATTCGCCCCATCACCATGATCCTGACCGAACCCGTCCTCGATCTCATGTGCATGTACATCGTGCTCATCTACAGCATGCTCTACGCTTTCTTCTTCGCCTACCCAGTCATCTTCGGAAAGCTGTACAACTACAACGACGGCCAGATCGGACTGATGTTCATCCCTATTCTCATCGGCGCGGGCTTCTCCCTCCTTTTCACACCCCTCATCGAGAAACACTTCCACCGGATATGTCTCTCCCGTCCGCCCACACCGGAGGATAGACTCATCGGGGCGCTGATTGGTGCGCCGTTCGTTCCTATCTCGCTTTTTATTCTCGGTGCTACTTCGTTCAAGCATATCATTTGGGTCGGGCCGGCCTCATCGGGGATTGCGTTTGGGTTCGGCATGGTGCTGTGTTATTATGCAGTCAATAACTATATCATTGATAGTTATCAGAAGTATGCAGCTTCGGCGCTGGCTGCAAAGGTGTTTTTGAGATCGGGTGGCGGTGCGGCGTTCCCGTTGTTTATTACCCAGATGTATGATAGATTGGGTTTGCAGTGGGCGTCGTGGTTGTTGGCGTTTATCGGAGTCGGGATGGTGTTCATTCCGTATGTGTTCTATTTGTTTGGGGGGAGGTTGAGGGGTAAGTTGGGAAGGAAGGAATAGAACTTGGGATGGAAATTAAATTGGAGATGTGGTAATGAGCTGATAGATAACTAGAACGAGTATATAGATAGAATAATGTGTTACACCTTTTCATTTCAGAAATTTTCCTATTCTGCTACGCTTTGTTTTGTCCCTTATCTCATATGGTTGTCGAGTTCTTTTTCAGCTTTGCTCATGCTTGCTTTTTTTGGGGTGCCAACCTCGCCTAGTCTTAGGCATCCATGCAGATCGAGACACTGCCAAGTTATGAGTGCGCTGATATAAAGCTTAAGCTTTCTTTAAACTTTCATCGATTGTGTTCTATCAAATCGGAGACTTCTGGTGTCACACAGTGTTTTGACTTCATTCGGCTTTCACATTTCTTTTCTTCAGCACAGACGGTGGCGTAAAGATTGAGAACTATCGTTAATCGATTTACTGCCGACATGACTTGGTTTACCGGTGCACGAGACACGTCTGATAAAGGTTGGCATTTTGATGCTGTCAGTCTCTTGGCTGTAATTGGGGAGTCCATTATCGAGAGGCAGAAGCATCTTATAGTGGCTTCACCATTTAGTGTTCTCCCGCGACTTTTACCGGCGCCACAAGCCATCTTGAACACGGATTCGACAACCCAGCTGCCACCGTTTGAGAATGTGTCTGTTACTAGTTTATATTCAGAGATAACTGCCAATCAATTGGGTTATTTCGCTGGCCTTATTCATTCGGTCGACAAATTGGAACCATTTGACTTTCGCGTTTATTGCATTCGTCACTCGGAACGCTACATCACTGAAGCCAACAGCGATAGACTGAAAAATTATCATAAACCCACTAGAACGCGGATCGGGCTAAAGTTGCTCTGTCCCATGAATATTCTGACCTTGGCATCTGTTCTCTGGACAATTGGTTTGGCTGTTTGGTCGATTGTCCTCCACGATGGTGTCGGCTTGCTTGCCATAATCACTATGTCAATATCCAGCAGCCTTTCATGTCTTTCACAGCAATTATATCCAGAACTGGAGAAAACTTCAAGACACACCAACGATTCGAAAGGGGACCTTGTTATCAATACCCGAAATGGGGCTTTTATTGTCGTTCAGTGCACCGTGGATATTGCCCGGGAACTGTATCTCGAGCAAGAACGGTACAGATATACCTTACGGCCGGACGCAACTCTCTTCAAAGTTCTGATGGGAGCCAGCACCATTCTACTTATGGTCTCTGTGCTTCTCTCCAGTAACTGCGGATGGACAATGCAGACAGCTATTGCTGTTACTTACATCTTGTTGAATCTGTGTTACTGGGCTCTTCCCGTGTTATTTGATGCGCGACTCTTCTGGGATGTAGCTGCTCTTTATGAAGTGGAGGTGAAGAACCAGAGGTGTAACGATAATTATACGGTCGCACTCTGGAATGCAATTCAAGAAACAGGCGAGGTTGGTTGGGTTCGAACAGCTCACTTATTACCTGATTCAGAAGTATGGGATCATTGGTTGGAGGAGGCAAAGGAAAATATCGACAATAAACACTGGGATCCTGAAGAGTCAAAGGACCGATGGATGACAGCGGCATTATAACATCGACTCCCTAAAACAGCAGTTGTTTGATAGACTAATGCAATGATTATACACCATTTGCTATATCACAAGGGAACACAATATCGTAACAGCTTCTACCCACCAGACTATTGGTGGATTGAGAAGTCTGATTGAGAGCTATAAGCTTGCGGCAATGGACAATTCCCCCAAAGTCAGGATTTCCGCGCGCTCTGCACATCGTATGTTTCACCTTAGGTCATGAAGGGCCACCTCGCGTCATGACTCCAGGTCCTTAGGCAAATATATCAGCTCAAGTAAAGGAAAGGCTACAGTATGAGGATGGTCATCGGAGGTGACGCAAGAGCCTGCGAGAATGTGATTTAACGAGAACGTTATTAGTAATTCCTGCCTGAGAGCAGCAACGCATAATATTCCCCCTTCCGGCATTCCTGGTCTCATGAGAGCCTGATCACGAGCGTGTGCTGCTTCAGCACTATGACGGGCTACGGCTAAGTTGTGTTTCCTTGCGAATCGCTTGCTTATACTACTTCTTTCCAGTGAGTAAGTATCTTTTGATTCCCCATGCCTCTATTCGACCAGCTGGAAAGAAACATGGGTATTTCCTAAATGTGCAGGGGGGCTTTTGATAATGTTAGTTTGAGGGATCTGTAGGGGAGCTAGCGACACGTACTTTACTATGCCTTCGCAGTGCCTCGCTGCATTGACCAACTTTTTTTTAACCCCTGAATGTCAATTCTGATTTTCTTTTCTATCGCCTTCTAAGGTACATCCTCCAGTTATGCCAGATCTATAAACCTCGTGGCCGGATTGATTAATAATCCATCTAGATCACGCATGTTGTATGCTCTACTTTTATCATCCCGAATAGGTACTACCTCCGTGGTTTTTGAAAGACGACTAGTGAAACCGCGCGACAACAACAAGCCGACAATTCTCGCTGCTTCGATTGTCTTGACTGTCTCATCGCTCAGTCCTCCAGCTTCATTAGTGAAAGTGCTCCAGAAGATATCCTCCAATGTGACGTTATCGTCGTATCTCACCCAACCGCCCTTGAGATGGACCTTACTTATCAGTCGTTGGTGAGAGTGAAGGTTTAGGCCAAATGATGCAACCTCTGCTTCGGCCCAGTCCACCACCCCAACTAGATTGCATGTGATTTCGTTCACCATCATATTGCAGACACCAAAATCCCTATGTAATAACACCATAGGGAGAGAAAAGATAGCAGGCAAAGAGCTGATTGAATTCTGGATCAAGGGGCGAAATTGATTGGCAGAGAAATGTGTAGTAACTCAAGCTTGCTCTTATATTAATGATATAGACTATCGCAGTAGCTCTGATCAACGATTTGAGGTGATTTCCACGAAAGCGCAAAGAACCTAGAACGTCAATAATCAGCATTCTGGCGGGCAACGTGGCGCACGAGACATACTTTGTGACGTCGAGTACCAAATTCTTGCGCCATGAAGGAAAATCGACTGAAGTTTCGAGAAATTGATTGTTATGGGCCAGTATAATATTTGAGTAGCTAATTCCCTGTATTCTATCCATGACATAGATATAAAGGGCCTCTTTTCCCAACACATCTTCCCCAGTCTGTCCCTTAAAGACAGCCTTAGGTGCAAAACCTCCATAAATAGTGCGTGCCAAATTTACTGTTTCCATGTCTATACAAGAGAACTTGAGGCGGAATTGAGCGACAAATTCGTCTTTTGGTCCAGCATAGACGGTATAGCCGCATACTCCCTGTACAGCTACCGGAACGAATTCACCACCAAGATGTTCTCTTGCAAAAGCATCGCAGTCTGAGCGAGTCGCTGTAGTCCGCTCGAAAAAGTCAGCAATTTCCTGGTCAACAGAGTAGTCAAGGCTAGAAGTAGGCAATACGCATATGAGATTGCGGCGTTGAATGAATATGCGTGTTTAAATCATGATGCGGAGGAAAGACTCGGGCGCTAACCTTGGCTTTTATAACCCTGTGTGCAAGGGCGGATGGCTCAATCTCCAACGGCAGCTCCTACGTGATAACAGCCAACTGACTGGCGTCACTATGCTTTACGAATTGCGGTGTACATAAACTCTATTATATAGTTTGATGAGGTGGATGGTTTTCTTTCTTCTTTCAGAAGCCGGAGATACTTCAATTTCCTTATTATTCACTCCTATGATGTTTATCTAGCCGTCGTGCTACGCAGACCATGGGTACCGACTGCATTCGTAACGCTATCATTCTACAACTACGTATACCGCTATATCTGCTCTAAAATTTTATATAGAAAAAAGCTTTCTTTTTGTCTTGATCCTTTAATTTCGAGTAGCATGATGGCTGAGACCTTTGAGTATTCTCAATGAGCCATCCTTTGGCCGAAATATCTTGGAGGAGGTTTTGTAACCCTTCAGGTTTATGTAGTAATTGTTTTATGTCGGTCCTTGTTCCAGAGGCAAATCTAGTCATAGCTGGGCTAGCAATTTCATCAACCTTGCCTGTAACAGGTCTGGCTCCTTTACGTAGAGGGTGATAATGACGACAGTCAGGACGTCAGGACATGTAAGACGGCCTTGGCGACGGCGGCGATGGCAGACAATGTGGTGGTGGTGCCGGTGGAAAGCCAGGTGGAGGAGAAGCTCCAGATGATGATATCACATGAACAGGAAGGCAACCATGTTTGAGGGATTCGGCATCGTGATACTCCTACTGTAGACCACATATATTTTCTCGCTGAGTAAAAGCTTTGGGGGACTCCGAAACCTGTCTAAAACAATGCTATATAATTGATAATATAGCGGTTTCGGTTGTTGTAGGCATAGCTGACAGGATCCGTTGGTGTGGGATGTTCATGCTAACAGGGTCTTTGTTGCTTTGTATAGTGTGTGGCTTCAACGCATAGCTTTCATCACATGTTAGTTGAGGAAAATAAAGACCGCGGCAGGTATTGACCTGGTTGTGTTCAGCTATCGATAGGACCTCAGTCTCTGAGTCTACAATCTTGGGGTTCATGTTTGGTTTCAGATCTGATAAAGGTGGCTGACATTTTCCTGACTGTCCACAATTTATTATATATTTCTGCCAAACGTACCATCGTTGACAGCAATCCCATATAAGTTGTCTAATGCAGTAGTGCCCAAGACATCTAGCCGTATACACATGATTACATGGCATATGCGTCGCAGATAGCAAGTGAAGTCAGCATTGTATCAAGGTCTTCCTGACAATCGATGCCTTTGTTTTCTTTCGGATCTTGATGCGAATAATATCATGTCGATAATAATTACTATCAATGATCGAGAAGCATCACTGATGGGTCGCTTACGCAGTGGGATATTTGTGGACCGGAAAGAGACTTTATCGCCTTTGTGGAGTCTTGCCAGTCTACAACCTGTCAGGTCTCAGCAAACCGTTTGCGGCTGCTCTTTCTTGACCATGGGTTGAGTGTATCAGATCTTCCAATTTGTTTGTAATAGTAAAGAAAGGCTTATATGGTAGTCGGCAGCACTTGGGCAGTATAGCATGCATGGGCTTCATCATCATCATCCGACGAATCATTTGCAGGGTCTGTGTTGTACTTGCGTGTATGTCTGTCTGAACGGGTATATAGTTTCTTGGGCTATCCACTTGGAACTAGTAAGGATGCGGTTTCCCTTCGGAGGGTCCTAGCATATTTTTATATATGAGGAATTTTTATTTATTTAGAGAATATGAAGAGTAGCAAGATAGGAGAGCAGAAGTAGAGTTATATATTTACAGTGAAGAAGTGAATGGCTTGCAGCAGTGCATTTGCAGCATTCCTGTTCCAGTGCCATTGAGTGTATCATTGTGAATGTATTGTAGTGCTAGACCATTCATTCGAGTATTGGAGAAAGCACTCGTTATTATTCAACGTCCGAGTGACTACGACTTCATCTTAGAAGTTCACCCTGTAACTCAACCGCAAAGAAAATAGAAGTCCACAACAGACTTTCTACCAACTTTCAAAATTAGCCATCACAAGACAAGGAAGTTCTAGGGATGAATTGAGCCTCCTATACATCGCCTGCAAAAAGCCGGAAATCCCCGACACCACTCCAAATTTTCAGCCGCAGCGCACAGACAGCCAATTCGTATCCGCACGAGGTTCATGCCCAGAGAAGCGCGCGTTGGGCAGACCAAATGCTGTATAATAAGAGTTCTAACCTGACTGCCAACAAAGGAGTCATATGCGCACGGTGCTCGCCGGAACGTGATCGGGTGAGATGATGCGAGCCAATCGGGACGAGTACCCACATGGCGTATCCTTATGAGAGACATCCAAGCTGTATGGTCTCGACAAGTTCATTCCCACGGGACAAGACTCGCCAAGCTGATATTAAGTAAATGTTTATTGATATCGGCTCGGGTTCAGGCTTGTGATGAAGAGAGTCGGGTTGTTGTTACGGCATCCCGAGGCAGGGCTGATCAGGCAGTGGAGCAACATGAAGCTATCCTTACTTCGGGTGTGCAAGCAAAGCATGTGAAACCGGCAGATTCTGACGTGGTGTGCAGTACCTGCCATGCGGCGTCAACGTGGGAAGCCATTCAGCCTGATAGCGGATCACAGTTTCACTTCCACCGCATGGCATGTCTGTGCTTGGCGATGATGATTGGGTCGTCAGGGGTTACTGGATGATTCCTGATCCTTCGGCTGGAATTGCCAGATGATGGCAGCATCGGTCGGCCTCGCCGGGGATAAGCCAAGCTGACACAAGACAAGGTAAGCAGACCAGAAAGTATTGTAGCTACTGGTAGGGTTACACGTCATGTTGCTGCATGATTAGCATGGGGGGATAAGACCATGCCAATCGATCATGTTATTCACCGCTGTAGTTCATAACAAAGACTCCATTCCGATCTTATTCTACCTGGTGCATAACTTGCACAACCGCGGGAAAGTTATGCGGATTGCCACGTTCTGGAGCCGAATTCCACCGCATTTTCATTCTCTCGGACCCACCACTGATTCAGCGCCTCCATCTTCAGTTTATTGCCACACATTAAGTGGCTGTTGATATACCGCTGACTCGCCTGATCAGGGATGCCCTAACAAACTCCAACCAGATTAGCCATCCATTCCAGCGGCTCTGCATGTCACGACAAACGATTTTTCTTGCACATTATTATATCCTGCAAATTATGCATGCCGTTATCTCCGTCCAGACTATTTTAAAAACACCCCATCCGCCATGGCTTTCCCATTCTTCCTCCTCTTCACGAATTCCACCCTAGTCTCTCTTTCTTCTCGTGCAGCAACCAACTGCCATCCCCATCATGCCCGACCTCGAGGATCAATCCGAGAAGCCCACTTCTCCAGTCCAGTCCCCCGCATCTAGCACCACCACCATTGCCGCCCTCTACCCCGAAACCGATCTCGACAAGGGTATCATCGGCTGGGACGGTCAAGATGACCCCAACAACCCGCAAAACTTTGCCCCGAAACGCAAATGGATGCTCCTCGCCCTAATGAGCTCCTTTACCTTCATCTCGCCGCTGGCGTCGAGCATGTTCTCCCCCGCTATCAGTTACGTGGCCGCCGACTTTGGCGTCACCAATGAAACCCTCCTCTCCTTCAGTGTCACCATCTTCCTTCTCGGCTACACAGTAAGCTCCCCACTACCATCCCCACACCATCAACCCCTCCCCATACTAACCATCCCAGGTCGGCCCCCTCTTCATCGCCCCCTCAGCGAAATCTATGGCCGCCGCATCACTTTGAGCGCCGCAAACTGGTTCTTCGTCGTCTGGCAAATCGGCTGCGCGCTCGCCCCCAACCTCTCTGCCTTGATCGTCTTTCGTCTCTTTGCCGGCATGGGCGGCGTCGGCTGCATTACCCTAGGCGCCGGCGTCATCGCCGACCTCTTCCCCCGGACCCAGCGCGGCATGGCCACCTCCATCTGGTCCATGGGCCCCCTCATCGGGCCCGTCGTCGGCCCCATCGCCGGCGGCTTCATCGGCGAAACCATCGGCTGGCGCTGGGTCTTCTGGATCCTGCTCATTGCTAGCGGCACCATCGGCGCCTGCATCGAACTCCTCAACCGCGAAACCTACGCCCCCGTCCTAATTCGCTGGAAAACAGCCAAGCTCGCGCGTGAACTCAACCGTCCTGAACTCCGCAGCGCCTACGACATCTCCCAGGGGACGACACCCCCGACGGTCTCGCAGGCACTAAAGCAGGGTCTCCGCCGTCCCATCATCCTCATCTGCAAGAGTCCCATCGTCCTTCTCCTCTCCATATACATGGCCTTCGTCTACGGCCTCCTCTATCTTTTCTTCACGACCATCACCTCCGTCTTCGAACAGACCTACGGCTTCTCCACCGGTCTCGCGGGCCTCTCCTACCTAGGCATTGGAGTGGGCTTCTTCATCGGCATGACTGTCGTCGCAATGACCAGTGACCGCATGGTCGTCAAACTCACCGCCCGCAACAACGGCGTCTTCCAGCCCGAAATGCGTCTCCCCACTATGATCATCTTCGCCTGCTTCCTCCCCATCAGCTTCTTCTGGTATGGCTGGTCCGCCAAGTACGAGGTTCAGTGGATCGTGCCAATCATTGGTATGGCGCCGTTCGGCATCGGCATGATGGGCATCTATATGCCGATCCAGACGTACGTGATTGATTGCTATCCGGCATATGCGGCCAGTGCGAATGCGGCGCTCACGGCGACGAGATCGTTGGTCGGTGCCGTGTTGCCGCTTGCTGGGCCGAAGCTGTTTGATAGTCTGGGGCTCGGGTGGGGGAACTCGCTCCTGGGATTTTTGGCGTTGGCATTTGTGCCGGTGCCGATTTTGTTCAATCGCTATGGGCAGAAGATTCGGGAGAAGTGGGTTGTGAATCTGGATTAATGCCTCTACGGCCACTGGTGCATTTTCTTTGTGTTGTAAAAAGTTTTGGTGGGCAGATTTATAGAATATAGACGTACAGATGTGCATGTATACATTAATATGAGATATGAATAATATAACAGAGTATTATAATAGTACAATGTGATTTGAGAATTATCCAATCTCCATTAACACCTCTCCCACATCCACCCCCCTGACAACATCCGGCCAAACAGCCACAAACTCCCTCGTTATACCCCACCCCTCCTTACACATGATCATGTTTTTGAACCGCGTCTTCATGACCAAGTCATTTTTCTCGTCCCTCTCCAAGAGACTCTCTCCCCAAGGCCATCTCACCTTCATACAACACGCCAGAAACCCAAATAGATCGTCCCTCTGTCGTGAATACACCTCCCACTCGCGGATAAGAGTCTCCCTGATCTCAGGCCAGATTAACATATCCAGTGACGCCTGGTGTGGAAGACGCAGCTGCTCCTGGACGGGGTGCAGAAAGGTTGGCAGCTTGGCAAATGTCTCGGGAGTGGGGTTGAAGAGCCATTTGCTGTAGTGGTAGCCAAGCCAGCCGAAGGCGAGCCGCTCAGGGTCGCGCAGTGGGCGGCGCTGGGAGCTGATGTAGATGGCGTTGGCAAGGGGGTTGGTGTTGGTGCCGTAGAGGAGGTCGAGGGGGTGTGGAGAGGGGGGGCAAGAGATGATTGTGGATGGGGGGAGAGTGAGCCAAGGTAGGGAAGGGAAGGTGGGAAGGTCTGAGTGCAGAGGGAGGAGGGAGTAGAGATGTGGTATTGATTCTTCCTTGTTGGTTTGTGGTGGTGGTGGTGGTGGTGGTGGTGGTGGTGGTGGTGGTGGTGATAATGATGATGATGGTTTTGGTGTTGTGGTGTGTGACTGTATTGGCGGTAGTGGAAGTTGCGTCGGTGGTTGTGGTTGCAGTAGATGCGATGGGGATGATGATGGATCTTCCCACGATGTGATCAATGACTTTAGTCCCTCTTGGCGACTTCGCAAGACTTGGTTCTCTCGTTGCAGGCCCTCTATTACTTGTAGGAGATGCTGCGTGCCGCTGTTGTCGTGGTAGCGCTCGCAATGCGCCACTTTGTCTTCTAGCTGCGCGGTGTATTGCTGCTTCTTTGTGCGCAGGGTTTGTTGGGCGCGACGGTCCCGGAGACGCTTTTTTTCTGCTGAAGAGAGGGACATGCGTGCCGATGGTGCAGTAGAAGCAATTTAGTGGGAGCTGGGATAGATTCTGGAAATGAGACTAAGCCTGATATTAAGTTGTGGAATAAAGCCGGAGATAAAGTCGAGGGGACCAATGTCGGGGGTGGAGTTATGCACTGCGTCACGGCACAAGTTGTGCATGTCCAGGACAAAGGTGATTGGTGAGTGTGTGTGTGTGGAAATACCATGTGTTGTGGCAATAATTATATCGGGGCTGGTATTCAAGTCAGCAACACCCAACTAAGTCATGTATGTGAAATAGTGCTTGCTAGTTAGTAATTTGTGATCTGTTGTCAAGATGCAGGGTAGAGCATATCTGTGACTTGATCTACGAGGACTTGAGTTGTGGTTATAGATAGGTGGAAGAGGTGGTCAGCGACCACGCAGACAGAAGAGGACGCGGAAGTTCAGATGATACCTGGCTACAGTGAATGATTCAACATCTGTTATATTTGTTTGCTCACATACGCAGCACTAAGATTAGGTCTATATATGGGAAGGCCAGCTTCCTACACCCCCCGAAACCAAGGATCCGACAGTAACCCTTGTACAGTATCCCTCCCATCTCCTTTCCACCGCAGCATTCGCGATATTACGTTAATAAAGGCCTGTTTATCGTCACCTTCAACGTCGTGAAGGGTATTGTCAAGTCCTCCACTCTTTAGGATCAGCCCTGGATGCTTGAAATTGCCTGCATTGAGATCAGTAAAGCTCCAACATTGCTAGCCGAGAGGAGTGATTACCTTCAGTATCAAAATATCGAGAAGCATACTTCGCCTCATGAAGCACATCCACAGGTGGAGGCCCAAGTACCGATATAATGCGAGCCAGATGAGCTTCCTCCGTGAAGGTAGAGAGATTAGAGTCTGGTCCATCAAAAGGACCACTGCCGTGGGCTAGTTCCACAAGCTGGATCATCATCAGCAATTTACAATATCTGCGAAGCGAGCAATAAACCATATCAAAGCTCCCAGGTTCCATATATCGGCACTGTACTCCCAACCCGCTCCAAGAATAACCTCTGGGGCCCTGAAACTATCTGGTTGAATGGGATGGTAATGAGTCTGAGACCCTTCCACAGCCAGTCCGAAATCAGTGATCACTGGTCTGCCCAAGCTGTTTGCTTCCATGCCGAAGTGATTTCTCGAAAGGTATATTGTTCGGTCTTCGAGCTGTTTCTGAGGCAGTGGTTCTTTTACTTCATCCTGAGACACTCTATCAAGTATGGAGTGGTCACGGAGAGCCATGAGAACATTGTCAGATTTCAAGTCTAATGGTTATTAGTAAGTCACAGCTTGCCTCTTTTCTGCTCAGAAGCCATACCTGTATGAACGACCTGACATTCAGAGTGGAGATAGCCAAGCCCTTCCAGAATCAATTTGGCAACAGGTCTGAGAACGTCCAATGGAAGCACATCCCCTTGAAACGGCCGTCTAAGCATCCATAGAGGCTCACACAATGGATCAAACACCATGCAAACATGGGTACCATGAGGACTTGGTAAATCGAAAGAATATAGCAATGTGCTCACAAAGTTCCGGCCTACATGTCGTGGATTTGCGCGCGTAATGTTTTCAGTAATTCGAAGTTTCCCTTCAGCGTCTTCCTTTGTTGCATAGTTATTTGCCTTGATTTTGACTGCAACGTAGCGTGCTGAACACCAGCGCCATCTACTATCATGTTAGTCTGAGTCTATGCCAAACGGCTTTAACGATACAGTAGAACATACTGATTCAAATCACGAGCTAACCATACTGTTGAACTGGTTCCCCAACCCAGTTTGGCAGTGATTTGGTACCTGTCGTTGAGAATATCATAGAGGCAGACAGGGTAATAGTGGTCTGGCTTATAACGTGGAGTGCACTCTTCTCCTATCAGTTCTGCAGCTGACAAAGCTTGCACTGGCACACTTGACACTCTACATGGACTCTGTTTAATGAGCCCGCGGAGCGACATTCTCAGAGACCGCAAAGGTGCAGCCATCCTGCAATGTCAAATCCGTGCATCTGGAACAGGACGATGGGTGGTTGGGAAGTTAAATCTGATGCCGCGCTCTTTTATGGCTCCGTGACTAAAAATTAAAGCGGCCACGCACCGAGAGGCAAATCAGGCTGACGTGGTTATTATCACTGCGGGGATGAAAATCTATCTCCTGGTAATCACTAACCCTCCCCCCTCCTTGCATGCAAATGTACAAATCTTGACAAGGAAAATTGACTAATCCCCGTACATAGGAGAAGACACCTACGAACACTTATATTTCAAGAACACTGTACTGAAGAGCATACTCAATGAGATGATGCCAATCAACCCGAACACCGTCATCCTAGTCGTCGCTAACCCAGTTGATCTGCTCACTCCCCTGGCTCAAGATATCACGCATCTGCCTAAGGAGCGAGTCATCGGGGTAGGGACCTGTCTTGACACTTTACGGCTACAGGAGGAAGTATCCAGCTTCCTTGGGGGGGACGACAGAAGAGGCAGAGGCTTGTGTGGTTAGGGTACGGGATAATGAGAGCCAGGTCGTTGGGTGGCCGACTTCCCGAGGGAGAGATGGGATTTCAATCGAGGAGAGGCTCGACGCGAAGGAATATATCCAGGGCAGGATGAAGGCCATTGTTGCTGGTGAGGAAGGAAAGCGTTGGAGGTGGGGGCTGTAGCCGCAGGTATTGCGGTGGCGGTGCTGGAAGATAAAAAGACTGTCTGGGCGGTAAGTCATCGGAGGGGTGATAATTGGTGTTGTTATTCGTGGCCAGTTGTGGTGGGGAGGGAGGGGGTGGTCAGGGAGGTGGAGGTGGAGGTGGGAGAGGGAGAGAAGTGGACATTTGAAAAGGGGGTTATGAAGTTGGGGATAATGTGGGAGCATTACAAGGTGAATGAGGCTGAAGGGCCGTAGTAGGGATCGAAGTATCATAGGAGTGGGATTATGCATTGCTTGATTAAATATTGAGAACACACGAATGAAATGTCTTTACAAGTGTCGGATGTGTTAGCGAAGTGGACTGGGGTTCGAAAGATTAAACTATTGAATCCACTTGTTGTCGCCAGAATCCATCAGCCGTCTTCCAATTTTGTCTCTGCTCTCTCTTCACCACCTGCCTCTTTACCAACACGAATTTACCCGATATCACCGACAACTCAAAATGATCACTTGGTGCCTTTCCACAGATGCCCACCCTGCAGCCAACCCTACGCGCGATCCGAAGAACCTGCGCGATGAGCGTCGTAACCGCCTTATCCTGCTCATCGAACAGCTCTGCTAACTCATCCGAGTTAAGATAAACCCCAGTGTCAGCTGCGTGAGATCTTTCAACCCGATCGAGAACGCATCAAAGTGCGCCAGGAACTGCTCCGCCAGGACAGCGTAACGTTTGACGCAGTCTTAAATATCAGTTCAACCTGCAGTCCATTATCTGCCAACACCTGCAACACCTCCTCTGCTTCGCCCACTGTGCGACAAAACGAAAGTCTTGGACACCACATTCGTGAACTTCATTTGCTCACGCAGCTGTGGATAGTCCCACACTCCAACACAGACCCTTCATGAGCATTAGACTGTCAAATCCTACCCTGGGTGCAGCACGTAGGTGGCAGCATGGGTGCCCACAATGACAGGGACGCCAAGTCCGTAACTGACAATGGCGGCGTGGGACGTGCGACTGTTGTGGTCGGTGATAATCGCCGCAGGCCACTTCATGATCGGCGCCCAGACTGGTCGGTCGTGGCGGTGACGAGAATGCAACCGTCGATGAACTTGTCCAACCAATGCGCAGACTCTGCCAGACAGAGACGGCAGAAGACAGGGGCATCACCTACGATCACCCCGGTGGTTTAGAGTGCGGCCCTTGTGGCCGATATTGTACATCTTAAGATCGGCGGTCGCGTCGCGACACAAGTGCATGGCTTCCGGTCGGGCTTGGGGGATGAAAGAATCACTGGCAAGACTGTCTTTCACGCCAGGCCATGTCCATAGGGCACTCGTAATGGGTGTCAATGGTGCAGGCCCATCGAGCGTTTTGGGGGTTTTCGGGCTACTGAGGACCAGTGCGACGCGTTCGGCTTTAGAGGTTGGGGTCTGTCCCGTTGCCGTAGATAACGATGGTTTTGTGGCCGCACTCACGTCGATTATGGAGACGAAGTAGTCGTCCGAAACGACGGGCTTGAAGACTTGGTACTCATCTTGGTCCACGGTGTCCTGGACGATGTTCTCTCCTAGTCCCTAGGCAGCGTTGATGACGATGACCCTGTCGAAGTGTGTCTTGGTGTCGATGAAGAACATCACTTCGAAGCCTCTGGAATCAGAGCATACCATGCGCTGTGCGCTCATGGTGAGACCGATGCAAGGGTAGTAGAAGCCATTTGTTCGTTGATAATTGACAGCCCGGTCGGCGAAGAGTGACGCCTAGGATAGTCGACAAGCATCCAGGGGAGCGTTTTCACCCATAACGCCGAGGTGAAATTCTGGTCTCCAGCAAAGCTATCATCCGGAAGATTTTCCTTTGTGGTGCTGGATCCGACGGCCACGCTGAGATTCTTCACGCTTGCTCTGAATGGCTGCCTTGGTATCAGGGGGTCGGGTACCCCGAGGGAAGATATCGCGTACTGCTTGTTATAGTTGCCGCGAGATGTGCTTTACCTTGCTCCCAGTCTGCTTATGAGCTCAGCCACATGCTTCCGAATATCTCATTGCTGTCAATGTCGTTCCAGTGGCTAACCTAGCCGCAGACGACAGCCACCTCCAGTCTGAGGGAGCTAGTTGACAGCTATGCCAGACTGATAGTAATATGGGTGGAGGCATATGCTTGGTAGATATTAAGCACTGCAAGTGTGTCATGAACAGCCGTGTCAGAGCAAAGCCAAGTACACTTCATCAACCGAACTGGCGGCAGTGATATCTGAAGCCACAGCAACTGTTTAAGCTCAACATCTGGTCCCAGCATACACCTCATTCAGTATGCAACACTACTTTATCAAACTCAGCACACAATGTTCAAAATCATAATTGAGGTCTAACTTACCATACAAGGCAAACATCCATCTCCACCATCATAGAAGCTATCCTCCCAACACACGCGCAACGTCACAAGATTTCAACCCTACCACTCCCAACCCCCCGGCATCTTCATTTTCGCACACCCTTCACTCTCATCTCCCTGTTCATCCCCCTTATTATCACCATCTTCAACCGCCCCATCCCCCCACCGTTCCCTCCAAACCGCCAACTCCTCCTTCCACAGATCGTTGACGCACGGATCACACGAACTCCCGCAGCACTCGCCCAATCCAGGCGGCGGAGGGGGGTCATTGTAATCACGCTCTGCGGCACGGAGGAGTTGCTTTGCGCGGGTATTGGGGAGACGGTTGCGACGTTTCTTGAAGGAGGGGACGTCTTGGGGGGTATAGAGGGGTGAGGGCGGCATTTTCTTCTTGTCTTACTCAATATAGTAGAAATGACTGCTATGTTTATGATTTTGGTGATAGTATAGAAATTCAGGATTGTGCGTTAGTGTTGTGGTCTACGATGCATGATTGAAGGTATACAGGCATGGCAGTGAAACCTGCCGGATGAAGATCGGGTAAGATCGGGATAGGATATATTCGTGTCGGGTATGGGTGTCGGAATAAGCAGATATGCATGGTGAGTGTAATATAGACAATTGATGGCATTCAATTCAGTTTCATTGATAAAATATACACGGTAACTCTTATTGAACTATCACAAGTATCAGAATAACAACAGAAGAAATCTAAGAGAAGAGAAAAGAAGGAAATAACAAACATGCGGTATACCATAACCCAACAACCGATAGCCAGACAGACAGGCAACTCACCCGAGATCACATGTCCATCAAATACCGACAGGTCACATGCACCACCTCATCCCCGTAATACCCGTACCAAGCATACCATACCCAAGACAGTAACAAATTACCTAAGTTACCGAGTTCTCTCCCTTCCGGATCGAAGGAGACGAAACGGATGGATGAATCACATCCACAACCACATCCATCATCCCTCCCAATCCAGTCCATGATTCATCATCGAACTGGATTCATCCTATACCATTGCACCGTAGATAATTTCCCTACCCTCCTTGACACTCAATGGCTGATAAGTTCCACTAAATGGCTATGTGTCTGTGCTCTGCTCTCTCCTTCAGGTAATTATCTATCCATCTGTCTGTGTTTCTACCGGTCCGATCGTCGCAGGGAAACCCCCGATACAACTGATACGTAAAAAGAGTGGTACCTATGTCTTTTTCTTGGCACAGGGTTAGTTTCAACTTCCTTCCGTCTAGAATAGATAGGTAGAACTGGGTTTTGGTTGCACGGCAGCTTTTCATGTCGGTTGGCTGTAGGTACTTCTTTTCTTGGAACTATGAGTCGAGAATCATGCACATGCAGGGATTAGAGCTGCACGATCAAAATTTTTTGGTTTTCATTCTTCCTTTCACAGCCCCTGAAGTAGACATTGGTGTGGTCAGTCAATTGCATGGAAGTGTCTGGCAAAAGTTCTCACTGCTACCATTGATCACATATATTTTGCCCTTGGGTCGCTGAGGCGGTGGTGGTGGTAGGGTGGGTGACGTTTACATTTGGGATCGTCAGTCTAGATCCACCGGGTGAGAGTGAAGGGGGTGTCATGGGCCACTATGGGTTTGGTTGATGGCTGATTTTTACCAACAATTATTGAATATTAAATGGGGTGTGAGAGACTATTCTAGACGTTCTCTAGGTTAGAAAATTAGATCCATTGGCTCTTGTGGTGTAATGGGGTGTTAGTAGGAGGGCTTATAAGGCGGTAATCGCCCATTGTTGGGAGGTAGTGGCCGGGAGGGAAGAGCTGCCCCCGGAGATTCCGGGACAACCGTTTCGTTGTCGACAGCTGGCATCAAGTTCGTACCTGTCTGGCTGACAACCACACGTTCCGCCTTCAATAGACAAGGTCTTTTGTCGAGCTGTTCAGTCTGACCGACAAGCTTGAAAGCGTGATCATATGATAATTGGTTCAGAGATCTGACCTGACCAGCTAAGCTGGACCGAGCACTGTTGTTACCCCAGGTTTTTCCATTCATCGGTCAGTCCGTACTGGCAAAACTTTGAAAACAGCAGAGAACCATCAATCGATGTGGATATAGAGTCCCAATCCTACAATCAAATGTAGCTGGCAAATCCGTGGAGTTTAGTGGCCATTTTAAATCTCTATATGTACAGTGTATTTGATGGTTGTAGATGATGACGGGAAAAGTAGTACATGATATATAAAAAGACCACCACAATAGAATTACCTCCTATCACAGCCAAGACAATCTCAAAACAAAGAATTTTGCTGATATTCCCCCCAATATCCCCTATTTTCTCTCCAATATTGATGAAGGTTTGTAATCGAAGATTGGGAGTGGATCATAAAATCTCCGCAGATGTCGTGACTGCAATCATCCCTCGGTCATAATTTAAACGTACTTGCACATCATGGCAACCATCAGGTCGAACAGACCAATGGCCTCGACGAAGGCGAAACCAAGAATGGCGTAGGAGAAGAGCTGACCACGGAGGGCAGGGTTGCGGGAGACGGAGAGGAGGAGGGCACCGAAGACGAGACCGATACCGATACCGGCACCACCGAGACCGATGGCAGCGGAACCCATACCCAGGTTCTGGGAGACCTGGACCATGGCGTCGGCGATTTCAGAGGAGTACTGGCGGCGGGCCTGCTGGGCAGCGAAAGCCTGGCGAGCGTTGGCCTGGATGAGGCCGGAGGGAGACTGACGCTTGACGGTCTGGAAGGGGGTCATGGGGACGGCCTTGCGCTGGGTGGTGAAGGTACGCTTGGGGGCAAGCTGGAGGCGAGCGGCAGGGCGAGCGACCTTGGTGGAAGCAGCCATGGTGGAGGCCAGGCGCTGGGCGAAGACACGGGAGGAGGCCATTGTGATGGTTTGTGGTGGTTCTGAGAGAGGAGTTTCTCTAGAAAATGATGGGATTGGGAAGGGAAAGAAGGAAGGAGAACTTTTCTGGAGGAAAAAGCTGGAGGAAAGTGACAACAGAAGGCCCCCCGGGACATAAATACTCTCCCGCTAAATTTTCGCGGTTTTTTGCCCTTTTCCCACCCAGCCCCCCCGTCGGGTGTTAGTGCGCTTTGTTGGGACCAGAAAAAAAAGCCCTACCTTACTTTTTTGTTTGCTGGTGTTTTTGGCACTGTCTGTTTGTATTGTATTGTTCCTGTTTTTCCTGTTTATGTCTTGTCTTTTGGTATCAGTCCGTTATCCCTAGTTGATCCTTTCGCTCTTTTTCCCTTACACCGTGTTTGGCAGCCTCGTTTTTGGCTCATTATCCTTCTTCCTTCCCCCGGGAAAAGTAGTGGACATTCCACCGCACATACACACTTACCACAACTTACTTACACATCCTGTGTACGCATACACACATACAACACCCTTCGGGACCATTCGGGATGGTGGTTACCAGGGGAGCTACAGCTGGTACAGCCAATGATTTCAGGGTCTTCACCTGGCCGTGCTGGTCCGCGATGGAGCAATGGCCTACTGACTCTCACTCTCACTTTCCTTCCTCTTCAGATACCAACCCAATTGCTGCATCTGATGGATTATTCCGTAGTCATGTGTGTATTTTACACTTGTACGGACCGATCCCTTCCGTTCAATTCCTTTCTTTCCCTCGTGTCGTCACAAAGGGAAAAAAAAAACATTCCTGTCTTGTCTCTACGGGGCACTCCCTTCATTCTTTCCTTACATATAAATTGTCCCCTTCTCCCTTCCCCTTCTGACACCCACCCAACCCAGCAACAGACCGGGAAAGACAAGACAAGACAAGACAGGAGAAACAAGCCCAAAGAGACCAGCTACGGTATGCAAAATTTTCACAGCGAAACGGGAGACCGCAAAGAAGAAAAATAACCAGAGGTGCGGGTGGGTCCCTGCATCCAAATGGGTCCGATAGAGTGGTACATCCCCACTTAGCGGTGGCCGGACAACCAATGGGAAGTAGCCAAGACCAGCTAATATGATGGCCAGCTTCTCGGTCGCAATCAAACCGGGCCGAATCGGGCATGCGGCTCCACCAGCACCGGAGTTTCTGAGCAAGAAAAAATTCCCACTTCTGAGACGCAAGCAGGTTTGCGCCGCGTCGGCTGGAAGGAGGGAAGCTTCCCCAATTGTCCTGTGTCGTGTTGCTGCCGTTGCTCCTTGTCTGTTCTCCCTCGGGAAATGCCTCACCGACTCATCGTATTGGGTTTTCTGCCGTTTTGGGACAACCCGGCTCCGTACGGAGCGCCTTTCGCCGGGGAAACGCGCGACGATCCGTAGCTCCCTGAGCTAGCTCGCAAATAGCACAGAAATGTTAGTCCACACAGGCTTCTGGCGCTATGGCGGCGCAAAAAATAAAATTTAAAAGAAAAATAACCATCTTCACCCAATGCCTCAGCACGCTTGTCTCCGAGGGTGGTGCACGGGTTATATAGCTTTTTGGATACATCAGAGAAATTGATCCCTCTCGGGGGAATAAGGAGCAAATCTCAGGGGGTGTGGATGACCGGCGCAAGCAGCATAGGGGAGAAAAGTGGGCGCGCGCGCGGCGCAAGCCAACCCAATCCCATCGACATCATCCCGTGGTCTCTCGAAAACCGGACGAAAGCATATCCCACACACACAAACACAGTCAGCCCGCTAGTGGCTGGCTTGCTCGCGGTTTTACCCTGCTGTGTGCTGTGCGCTTGTTATCGTGGCCACCACACCCCCCTTTCCACTAGAGGGAAGAATCCCTTGGAAGGAAATCCCATTGTGTAATTTTTACCTGCTTTGCTCACCAGCCCGTTTTTTCTTTCCCATCTTCCCAAGAAGACATCCGTCTGCTACTTATACCTGGATCAGGGTGAGGATTCCGGGGCAAATCTCTTCTACGCTCTCCCTAACTTTTTTTTTTTTTGTATCCTAAATTATTTTTATTTTTTATTTTTTGTGGCCCTCCCCCCCAAATTCACAGTGTCCCTATCTATTTCCGAGGTCGGTTTCACTAAACTCGATTCAACCCGGTGATCGAGATATGATCTCAGCCGCCCTGCAGTATTACGTAACCCGGCCAGCTTCCCGACTGAACCGCTGCCGCCGTCGCCGCAAACTGGCCTTGCCTTGCCTTGCCTTGCTGGCGCTCTCTCACTTGTTCTGGCTCAATTTAAGCATGCAGCTGGTGCAGGGATGCCACGGGGCTCGAGCTGTTCGCGAACTGTTCTTCGGCTAGCAGGGGGGTGGGTGATTGTTGTTGAATCCCAGTATACTCAACATAAACTGTCAAGTAGAGTTGTAATGTGCAGCAATAATTTCTCGCTGATTAGTAGTATCCACGGGAACACAAAAATGCATAATTTAAGTATCGTTCTGGTGATACCGACAGACTCGGAGGATAAAGGGTGATGCGGATGGGGGATGGGATCGATCGATGGATGGCTGCAGCGACACGGAGCCCGCCGTGTATCGGACCTGTATTGGTGGTATTATTACGGTATTGTGAATACGTGACTGAGATACGGTCTCGAGTGCCTTAAGGTATCAAGGCACGAAGCTCTGTCGGGTCAGCGGCAGGTCCCGGACCTCGGGATTTCAGTTGGGTTTAGTGGGAATGACGGACAACTCAAAGCAGGTATGGCGGCTAACTACTATCTACGTAAGCATTGGGCTGGTGGCCGTGGCCGGCCATCATGCCGGTTGTTTTCCTTGGTTTGGGCATGTAGGTCATTTACATTGTAGCTTGTGGTGCAGATGATAAGCCGGAATTCCTGACGAATTGGAGCGTAGGGGTGTATCTCGGTGAGGTTGTGGGTGTGGAATGTTGATTGCTAGCCACGGCGAGGGTGGTATGTGGATATGAATATATATTGTGGTATGGAGTGTGGCTTCGCTTTGGTATGTTGAGGATCCACAGGGAGGATGGGGAAGATATATCCGGGGTTAGTGTTGTTTAACTTATGGTATTTTGATTCTACTTTGAGGTCATGATATATATAATCGGGTGAAGCGGTTTGGTTCAGTAGTATATAATATACATCGCGCTTATAGTGTGTACACTTATCAGGCCAGAGGTAAGTGCTAAATCTAAAATAACCATGGCAGCAACTTGCACACGTTCTTGATCTACTATGAAAACATGATTAAATTTGTGGCCATCTTGGCATGGTCTAGATTGATACCGTTGTAGCGGAGTATTCAGTTTGTAGACACCTTCGTCTCTGCCTTATTCAAAACAGCAATTCCACTTCATGTGATCATAATGATCTACGTCTGTCCTTCCTTTTCTAGGTGATATCGATAGGGGACCGCTATTTAAGTGGACGATGAAAGATCAAGTAAGTAGGTCCCTTGCTCCATTGCAAACACGCTCCTAACTGGAACAATCATTCGGATGAAGCCATGATAATACTTTGTATGATTGTTCATTTCATCATGTTTTAACCATATCTTGCCGCACTGAAAGCTGAGATAAGATTGTTATAGAACACGCGCTAAGTATCTGGGATGAAGACCTACGTAACATGACCGAAACTTGGTCAATCCTTGGGGAAGAGTTCGCCGGATATGCTAGGTGGTTGTATACTGCCTATCTACTACCAACATGCAGCCATAAATCAATCAAATAATCTTAGATAGCTTTTCCACTACCAACTGTGAAAGGCTTCGTGGCTTAAACAGTTATTAGTAACACCAAAACATTTAGACTGTCCATCCGCCTTGATATGTCGACTAAAGGAAGTTACGTGTACGACGCTTCAACTCGGAGACACTGACTTGACATGTCTATTTTGGAGCTCTGGACAGAATAAGAAAAAGAAAAGAATAATAACAATAAGAAGAATTGCTGAAGCTATCAGTGAACACACCATAGCTACCGCTGATGTACTCTGTCCCTGTTGGTTTGCGATAAGAACATAAGCTCATATCGCGACAGGTACAGGAAAGTCCCTTCCCCATTTTTCAAACGGCGCCTCGATAGAATATCGCAAATCGAGCTCTATCTCCTCATCCGGCTCAAGTGTCACTTCCCATCTAACCTCTCCATCACGACCCAGTTCTGCAGTCTTCGTTCCCGGCTTTCCCGGCTCCGTGAGATCCACCTTATCACCCGGAAACCCCAAGGTCTCTGGCGTCAGAATCTCAACATCAAAATGATCGTCCACACTAACTGGCACCTGATCCAATACCAAAACGTTGACTGCATGGTCTCTTGTATTCTTGATCTTACATGATGCTCTGAAGTATGTGATAGTTAGTTCCAAGAATTCGTCGATTTTACTGTGTTATCCCAGGTTCCTTATAGGCCACCTTGATGAACCTGTCCACCCCAAGGTTGAGTTCAAAGATTTCGTTGCGTACGCAGCTTGGGACGTTGGTATTGCCGAAACAGGTACCGTCAACGATTAAGTTCACTTCACCTGATCGTATATTCACAGGCGAAGTATTCTGTACCTTGGCACGAAGGAACGCTGCGGCATGTCTCTTGGGCACTATCACATGGGTGAATGAAGCTTGGAGGTCCAGCTCAGCTATCTTATAGCGGCGGGGCGCAGATGAGGCCTTGAAGACATGCCAGCCAGGTAGTTCATACGATACACTCAGGCCATGGCCCTGGCTGATCGACTCGGGTACCTTGCTATCAGGCGGATAAAAGTCATGGTACATCGAGGCTTCCAGCCCATCCTCTAGGTTATCGGCCGTAAACGCCAGAAATTTTCCAACTCAGGAAAGCCAGGGGAGGGGAATGTCGGTTCTGATATCCCCAGTGTTGGCATAGAAGGGGCACAGACGACCCGGATTTAGTCAGCATGACTGCCAGATCCCATGGTGTCAACAATGGGATCGCTTGCCCCGGAGGCGACGTGTGCGCTTACGGAGCCGACAGCGTTACCTGGGCATCTCGCCAGGTTTCGGAAGTTATATTAGTGAACAGGGCACAGAGCCTGACCTTGGCCGTTGGAAAGAGCGTCTTGATGTTGAGGTCGTGAAGCTTGAGTTCTGACTTCGCCAGAACCGTATAGATCAAGTGCAACATCACTTCATTGCTCTGAGTCTTTCCTCCCGCTTGGTTCTCCTCATCACCAGGTAGAGTGCCAGGGCTCGACGCAGGCGCAGGAGCAGTCACTTGCCCTTCCATGTGCACAACTACCTGGCAGTAATGGTCTTATGGTCGGCTTTTCCGGGGCAGGTCTCTGATTCTGTTCTTGCAACATACTCGGTTTCGCCCCTTCGTAGAGCGCTGGTCCGTACTCCCCCCGATGAGGATCTTGCGCACCAGCTCCACCATAACCCATAGGCTGCCTCTCTCGATTTACAGAATCGTTCCCAGGCTAGGCTTTAAAGATGCCGCATCCGGCGTATCGTCCTCCAGAGGGGTGGAAGATGGTGTCTTTTCTAGTATCCAGGTCTCTGATTGGGTCAAAGACTTTTATGTCAGAGGATGGTTTGCAAGTGGACGAGTATCGGAGGACGTTTGCATGCTGGATGTCTATTACTTTGGCGGGGCCGAGACTTTCAACACGTATGGACTCGGGATCGACCTGCTGGTCGATCTTGTTGATGGTGATCGCGAAAGCACCGGGCTGTTAGCGGCTGTGAGAAGATACTCTATAGATATGATATACGGTTGCTAGGACATGTGCACCTGGACACGGACAGGAAACTCGTGCGTGATGGTTGCTAGAGTAGGATGAAAGGCAACGGACTTTGTGGGAATGCCCTCGACGGAGAATGCCCAATGAGCAGGACCTTCCATGTTGGTTAATTGCATGATAGATAGATAAATGAAGTTAGGGGATGAAGATGGGGGTGGGAATAGAACAAGAGGAAGCAGCGGACGCTTCGAACGAGAGCTGTATGATTTGACCATGATATATGTCTTTAGTTCCTGCATGTGATCACTGCCACGGGAAGGAATATCCCTTTGTAGTGCTGATAGTATCGCTTTTCACTTGACAAGCCCTTAATTCGAAACGCCATAAGGTGAGTTGGGGTGAATGTCGGATTATAGTCCTTACTATCTGTTCACAGTCCAATCGTGTGGAAATAACCTGGTAGATGTACGGTTCTCAGAGTAGAGTCCCAAGTTTGGTAATAGGCAGGTTTTTCCCGAAGTTGCATCATGGCTATAGATGGGATCCTTCCTTGTTATACGGTGTCCCGTCCAGCAATATCTGGATAATTACTGAGTAATCACTGAATATTCCTTGTCATTAACACCAACGCCAGTATAGCGCACTGTCGCCATACCTTGTTATTAAAGTGACTGCTGTGTAATCTATACTAGCAGTGCACAGTTGAGTTCTGGAGTCACTTGATGCAAGGTAATGGCATCCCAAGACTAGAATACTTTCACCACATCACTGCCATGAAGCAGAAGATCACGGAACCAAGAAAATAGCGGCTAGACTACGTTGACCAGAACCACGGCTGAGCAGAAATTAGAGGATAATCCCAATTTGTATTAAACTTCACAAGAACCCCATCAGCGAATTATAGACGTATAGTACTCAACATCCTGGGCTATTCACAAGGAGAGACATTGAAACTATTAACAGGTTCAAGGAAGCCGCAAAACAACAACACAGCAACAACAGCAACAGCATATTAATCACAAAAGATTATGACCCGGTGCGCCCCGAAGCCATTAGCAACTGTATGTACAGTGCGGAACCTGGATTCGACTCGAGCTAAAGATTACAACAATTAGTTTGGAGCAATTCACATCAAGAATGAGGCGCATACATACCAGTCAATGCTTACTGCTGAGACTTGCCCTGCTCCTTCTCCTTCTCCTCACCACCCTCCTTGCCCCAGTTCTTGCCCGTCTTGTGATCGGTAGTCTCGCCGAAGCTCTTGCTGAAGGATGCGGACTCGTTGTCCTGGACGCTCTTGTAGTCTTCCTCACCAGCGGAACCGCCCTCCTTGCCCCACTTCTTGCCAGCCTCCTTGGAGTACTCGTTGGACTTGACAGGGACAGGCTGGGGCTTGTGCCAGTGCTCCTGGGCAACGGGAACTACTGCCTCGACGGCAACGGCATTGGGCTTCTCTTCCCAGCCACCACCACGCTTGTGGATGTTCCCGCTACCATGAACATTGTCGACTGATAAAATATTAGTATTGGATTAATTGGGAAAACAGGAATTGATGGACGCTGTCACATACCAACAGTAGGAGCGGCGATGGTGAGGCCAGCAAGGGCAACGAGGGAGAGAACAGCGGAGGCCTTCATTTTGAGTAGTTGGTTGTTTGAAGCGTGAGCTTGTTGGTTGAAGGTTTTGTTTGTGAAGTGAGGACTGTGAGGAGAGAAGCTTGATTGATGCTGATGATGAGAAGAAGTCGGGTTGGGGAGAATTCAAGGCCCTCTTTATACCTTTTCGTGAGGCCCTTCGGGTCTCTGGACACGAACCTAGAATAGCGACATGGCATATCCAGTCTGTCACCGAATATCACAGACACTGACACATCCACGACTTCGAACAATAGCTGTTGCCATATATGCGAACTAGTGTCAATAATTGAATTGCATGCGCCACGGCTGCAGGGTCCCGAACGGTCAACCCCGGATTCTGTCGGTTGGATCGGATATGTACTGTGCGGCGTTGATATGTCATTTCGGCCCGGGGTTTGGCTGCCTTTTTTTGGCTGAAGTGGCAGTATTGTTGGTTGGGATTCCTATTTAGGTTTACCGATCGAGATTCCGAAGCAAGGGATGAGAGTGTGGCTCTGGCCGCCTTCTAACCAAACACCAGTTCGCACAACATGAAGGGTATAGACATTGTGGCTGAAACTGCGTCGTTTCTCCTGACGATCAATGACTCTGGTTCGGAAATAGAAAATTAATGAAATTTGTCACGTCGGTCTTTGCCGTTATGACATGCTTGCGAAGGCAGAAGAGCTCTCAATGAGGCGTATGTGCCTAGTGAGTAGCATAACTTATATTCTGTAGAGGCAGCAAATAGTTTCCCGCAATATGTGGAAACTGCATCAGGGAAATATGCATTTTCGTTGACCGAGTCTTGCTAAATAGAGGTGTCCGACCTGAATTCTCAACCTGCACTTAGCCAAGTAGGAATATAGAGAATTTGTTATGCATCAGGCAAGTTCTATGAATGATTACGTGAAATCCCAAATATGAAAACGATATTCATTCGTTTACGTTTTGGGAATGGTTGCCTGCACATAGTGACCTGTAGTAGTACTTATGTGCTGAATGTGGCTGGCACTGTGTGACATACCAATGTAGTCCAGCAGAGTTGATCCAAAGAACGTAATGCATTTTATTGGAATAATTATATCAAAGGCAACAATAATTGCAAATGTTTGAATTGTGTAAGTTATCGGAATAGCTACCCACTTTATTTGATAAGACATGGTCACGATATAGGTATTACACACACATGAAGATAGACCGGATATTTATGTAGAACCATTTGCAGGAGAATTAACGACAACATCTGTTGTAAAGGAAATCGGAAATTTTTCACTTCAATACAATGACAGATGACAATGGCGCAGAACAGGAGACAAACAACAGACATTGCCATGAGGAAATGCAAATCGAACAAAAGATAAATATTACTATTGATTATAATATATTTAACCGACCCGAGAGTAATCCCATGATCCCTATGCTCCGAAATATTACCCATATTCCCAGCATCCTAGTTTCCGATTCCCTTCCGATAGGCGATCCCGCAAGTTTTGCTCGTAAAGGCCGTCAGAATAAATTCGAACTTTTGCTTCTGTGACAAAGACATTAGTATATATCACTATAGCAAAAGGAGTCTGCATATACATAAGTATGACTGCTGAAACACTACTGCTGCTCCGTAGTCTGACTTTCGTAGGACTCATGAGTGTTGTAAGAGACAGATTCATGCTGGTTGACCGGGACGTGATTCACGGGGTGTACAGGTGGCTTGGGAGCCTCGGGCTTGTGAACTTGAGGCTTGTCCATCTCAGGCCTGTGAACCTTAGGCGTGTGGGCATCAGGTATGAAGTCTACAGACTGGTGGACCTCAGGATTGAAGCTTTCGGACTGATAGCCCTTAGACTTGATATCATCCGTCTTGTACTCCTCAGACTGGTAGGCCTCAGACCTGTAGTCACCCTTGATAGTCTTAGGCGCTTGGTAGTCATTCTCGGGGACGTAAATTGTCGGGGAATCAGGTTCAGAATACTCAGGTGCGACGGGCTTTGAGGAAGAAGAACCAAATCCTCGCGCGTAAATGACCTCGGAGCGTCCAATCTTGTGGTTATTGTCATTGAGCTGGTATTTTTGCTCTTCAGCGCTGAGGCGATTGTTTTGGTTTTGGTTATTCTGGTTCTGGTTGTTATTGTTGTTGTTGTTCTGGTTCTGGTTCTGGCGCTGAGGGTTGGCGTCTAGACAATGTCAGTTTCTGCATAGCATGGTCGAGCTTGGAAAGACATACAACTAGTAGGTGCCGCGGCGGCCATAGTGGCGGCGAGGATGCAGAGAACGGCGGAAACCTTCATGATGGTGGCGAGTGAGAGAATTGCCTGCGCTGCTTGGACTTGAGCCGTTTGATGATGTTTTCTGCAGTAGTGGTAGCAGAATGGCTCGGGACACTGGTCCTTTTATTGCTCGCCGAGTCACTGCTGAGTAATGGTGGTTAGTCTAGCTATGAAAGTGACACCTGAGATATGAGGAATAATCGACAAAGACAGTGTTCAATGTGTACGCAATTATTCACATGCTGTACAACTTTTGCCTACGATTTGTGAAACCTCAGAGTGAGATCTATGCTATGTTGGGGTAACGGCAGCTGTCAATTGACAGCTCGTTCAAATGATCAACCGCTATTGGGCGTTATGATATCATTTGGGACAGCTACTACCTATTATGGCTCTGATCTTCAATAGTGTTTCTTCCAGAACGATTATTTATATAGACCGCTTCTCATCATCTCCCTTCTTCGTCCATCACTACTTCGCATCATCGATCCCGCTCCCCTGTCACACTGATAAGTCTATCCCTATTCATTAAACCACCAACTAACCACCAAATTAGTATACCGACTACCAACAAAACACCACCTGTCAAACTTCGCAGCGCCTCCCTACCGCAGTTGCTTCCTCATGAAGTCTGCCTCGTACATGCCCTCTCCCTGAGGCAACTTGTACGGCCACCTCGGCTCCGTCTTCCACCGCACGTATCCTAACCTCTCATACCACAACACCGCCGCAAACTCCGGCTCTGTGCCCAGCGACTTCAGGAGGGCCCGTTTCTCCTCATTCTCAATGTACTCTTTGCTCAATGCATTGAGAGTAACGGTCTGACACCGCGGATCATTCACCGCCATTTCCTCCACCAACTGCATAGCTCGACGACCGACACCACCAGTCCGGTACTCTGGCAGAATGAAAAACGTTTGAATGGTCAAGACAGAGTGATCGGCCTGTGCAAGCCCCGGATCAGGCGGGGATGCGTATGCGTCGAGTGAGATGTGACCGACACGAATAGGGTCGTCACCACTCTTGCCGGGAAGGATGATCCAGAAGAATGTTTTCAAGTCTGCGTCTTGTTTCTCACGCCAGGCGAGGATGCTCTCGTCGCTGTAGTCCCAGCCGCAAATGTGGCGTTGGCGTTGGAGGGTGGCATATTCCGAGGGGTTGTAGAGGTTGATTGGGGTTAATGTGCAGATCATTATGTATGTTTTTGCACCGATGTTAGGTACGTATAAGGTGGGATGATGGTGGTATCATGGGCATGTAACGGCTTTGGCATCGAAGGGTCTTTTATAGGGTGTTGTACTAGTGAGTCACGCTAGCCTACCCGATAGTTCCACCACATCTGATTGGAAGACGAGGTAAAATTCGGCCGGTTATAGGCGGGGAACCGAAGACCATGAGATTCCATTCCTTGAAATGGGTCAGAATAAGCTGAAGGTGGTATTACATGCCTTTAAGATGGAGGCTGATGGCGTATTTTCCTCTTCTCCGTGATGCAATTCTGGGGCTTCTTGGCAGATTAACGGAAGGGATTTACAAGAACCCTAACAGAAAGCAGATCTCATGAGGAACAATCTTCTGAAAGATATCTACGTATGGGACATAGAAAATGGAAAGCGTCAATTGTTCAGAAGGGTGCCAGGATGGGCCTCGTGGCAGCGCAGGAATGACATGGCTGGGTGCCACGGACACTAGTGACCGTCGGGAGAACATGTATGCGCTAGCAGCTCTACCCAACCTGCGAATGGCTGGTTTGAAACCCAGTGGAGAACTGTCACCAGGAGGGCGTCCAGTTAGAGTAGTGCCCTCCGGTAAGTAATCCTTGCTCTGACGCCCGCCAGCCATGACACTGACGATAAGCAAAGAGCATGAAGATACAGGAAAAAAGATCTCTTAACAATCGTTCAGAGAAATGATCTCATGCTAACAAATCTCACTACAACTCACACTAAAACCTGATCAAACCTTCGATTTCATTCCATTCTCCCCAATCGCCTCCCTCATCGCCCCCTCCGGGGCATCCAACCCCGTCCACAACCGATATTGCTCAAAGCCCTGCCTCAACAACACCTCCAATCCATCACGGACCACCCACCCACGCCTCTCCGCAACCTTCATCAGGGGAGTAACTTTCGGCTTATACGCCATCTCCACACACAACCCCATCTTCGATTCCTGAAACAGCCCTTCAAAGTCGTCTTCCGTCTTAACATCCCCTGGAATAGTCCCAATAATCACATCCACATTTCCAATGCTATCCAGACCCCCAAGAGCCCTCATATCAACGTCATTACCCCCACACTTGAGGGTATCAAAATCCCTAACAATATCCTCTGCCTTTCCGACAGTCCGGTTCCAAATAATAATTGTCGAGAACTCAGCCTGTAAGAGCGCATACACGGCTGCTCTCGCAGCACCCCCTGCCCCAATGACAAGGCCTACTTTGCCGGTCCCTTTACCGGAATGTATGCCTTGCTGGGATAAGTAGTCGATGATGAGGGTGTAGAGGCCAGACCAGTCTGTGTTGTCGCCTTTTACTTTAACTGCTCCGTCCCCGTTTTGGGATCGGGTAGTAAGTAGAGTGTTGATGGCACCAATGGCACGCGCTGAACCGCTCACTTCAGTACAGTGTTCGAAGGCAGTGAGTTTATGGGGCATGGTGATGCTGGCACCGCCAAAGGAGGGTGAGGTGATGAGCTGAGATACTTCTGATAAGGAAGCGCATTCTGCGATGGTGTAGGTGTATGGGAGGTGGTGGTGGGTGAAGGCGGCGTTGTGTATTGTCGGGGATAAGGAGGCGCGGATGTTGGGGCCGCCGAAGATGTGGAAGACAAGAGGCCGCGTCATTTTCAGTGTATGGACGAGACAAATTCCAATACGAACAATGGGACTGAACTTGGTTAGGGTACTGTTATCTGGTTGTGATGGTTGATATAGGGCTCGGTGGTGGAGTGTCGGGTATGATCATAGCCTAGGGTATGTGTTTATCATCGGGAGGGAGCCGAAGTATGGGGTTAATGGATGGGTGTATGTTTAACCTGGGGACGAAGCTAGTGGAAGTTGACACGGCTATGGAATCATAGAATGAGTATATGTGGGTTTGTATTAGATGGCATTGCTCTTAAGAGAACTGTTGGGCATCTCGCCTTCCTACTCCAGTACAATGTATATAACTCTTCACCTACGCGATAGTCCTTAAACGTTTAAAACATGTAACTTGATATCTATTCAAGACAACAAGACAACACATACACCAACATGCACATTACCAGTAATCACTACATCAAGCCCACTCCACATACCCTCCCTCAACCCACTCCTTCGCCTGCCAATACAACAAATCATGCTTCTCACCATTAACACTCCCCGTCGCCTTCTCCCTCCTATGTCCCGGCAAATCCATAAGAACCTTAACCCCCATTGTCTCCTCCTGCAAATACGCCAAATGGCGATACCCCACCGGATACTCCTTCAACCTCTCATGATCAATCACGGGTACGCGATCCGGCGTCACAAGCACCAATTTGTCCTTCTCATACCAATGCCTCACGAACCTTGCCCTCCACTGACCCTCCAAATCCCCATACTCAGAGCCAACCTTCTCCCAAAAGAAAATGAACCGACAATCAGACTCCGCGTCCACCTCACACGTTCCCCCACTTACACACTTCACCTCACTGAAACGCTGCGTAATAGTGGCCTTCATCTTGGTAACGGCGCGGGTTCCTTCAGGGTTGATATCTGTGGTGCTGCCGTGCACACGATGCATGATGAATGCACCCTTGTCCATCCCCGCCTGCGAGGCGCTGATAAAAGCATCGTGGTGCGTGAGCCCCGTCCAGGTCGTGTACACGTGCGCTTCAGGGTGGAAGATTGACCGGAAGTTCTCCCATTCGCAGGCGTCGCGGTAGCACGGCCAGCCTTCGGCGAGTTCGCGTAGAAGGTACCGCTCTATTGCCAGGTGATGGGGGCCGTTGTTCCGGATGGCGTGCTGGGGGCGGGAGTTGGGGGGGAGGGTGTGAAGGTCGGGCATTTTGATGATAATTGATCTAATTCAGTTGGTGTGTTTTGAGTTTATTGAATGTGTGAGAGAGAGAATGGTGATGGGAATAGTTTAGATGTAGATGGTGGGGGTAAGTTCACTTTATACTATACTCATACTAGGTCAGTAGAGCATGCATACCCCGCGGGGAAGAGCCGAGGAGAAGATGGGCTCGGCAAAAGGATATCCGTGCCGGGTAGGATCATAGCCGATGGGATATTCTGACTACTATATTATCTGCCGTCAGTCATATACTCTACAGACAGGGTTGTGGAGTATCCAAATCAAAACCAGATATCACGACAAGCACTATGTCCGCCACCACTACCTCCGACCCCCGGCGCTACGCCTACCTCGTCGGCATCGGGGTAACCCACTCCATCGCGCCCCCCATGCATAACTACTCCTTCAATAGCATGGGCTACCCATGGACCTTCATCGCGCAAGAGTGCCCGACCGTCGAAGACGCTGTGACCCTATTCCGTCAGCCCACCTTCGCCGGCGGGGTGGTAACCATGCCCTATAAGCGCACTATCATGGAGCATCTCGACGGGCTAGACGAGTACGCTGTGCGCCTCCAAGCATGCAATAATGTCTATCGCGCAGAAGATGGCTCGCTGCGCGGGACGAATACAGACTGGCGTGGGATTAAGGGGTGCTTACTATCTACTGACCCGGAAGAGAAAGGGAGGGGTAAGGCCGCGGTGATTGTGGGCGCTGGGGGAGCGTGTCGCGCGGCGGTGTATGCGCTGTATGCAGAGTTGGGGTGTACGCCTATCTATGTGGTGAATCGAGATGAGGAAGAGGTTAGGGTATTGAGGGAGGATACGGAAAGGGAGTATGGGGAGGGGTTGAAGATGGTTCATGTTGAGAGGGTGGAGCAGGTTGCCGGTTTGTTGGAGAATGCGGTGCCGGGGTATGTCGTTGGGACGGTTCCTGATGCGGAGCCGGTGACAGCAGAGGAAAAGGAAGTGCATCGCATTATGGAGGCGTTTTTGGATGCTCCTACTAAGGGTGTGTTGTTGGATATGTGCTTCAAACCGAGACACACGAGGTTTCTGAAGATGGCGCGACAGCGTGGGTGGGCTACGGTGGAGGGGACGGAGGTGATTGGACATCAGATGCCGGAGCAGTATCGGCTCTGGTGCGGGGAAGAAGAGAGACAGATGTTGTCGCTGGATGGAGCGTGGTCTGTGCTACGGAAGGCTGCAGAGGAGAGTCCGGGTATTAACTTCTAGAGGATAAGAGTAGAGTTGGTGGATTGCAGGGACAGGGATCGGATGAGGGCATTGCCGATGACCTCAGTGTGGGCCGGGCCTGACGTATGATAAAGCATATAAATGCACACCCAAGCTTCATGCTACACTTTGAATATCAAACATACATTGTATCATCAGTTCTTTCTATTCATCCCATTATGCCCTGCAAGCCTGCCATCGCGTCCATGTCCGTGGGCCGTGCCTGGGTCCATTCTCTTCCTGAGAAGCTCTCCCAAATTGCTCAGGCCGGCTTCCAAGGAGTGGAAATTTTCTACGAAGACCTGGAATACCTCGCCAAAGAAAAGGGAGAACCGATAGAAGAGAATCTCCTAGCTGCCGCCCGAGAAACCAAGAACATTTGTAATCATCACGGCCTGGAAGTGATTGGCTTGCAGCCGTTCATGTTTTACGAGGGCCTGCTGGATCGAGATGTCCACCAACAGAAAATCGCCAAACTTCACACCTGGTTCAAGATTATCAAGATCCTCGGCACTGATATCATCCAGATACCGTCAAACTTTCAGCCCGATGGCATCTCCGGAGACCTTGATCTTATCGTCTCCGACATGATCGAGGTGGCCGATCTGGGCCTGAAGCAAGAGCCGCCAGTTCGCTTCGCATACGAGAGTCTCGCCTGGGGTACCTATGTTTCAACATGGGACACTATGTGGGAAATCATCCAGCGGGTGGATCGCCCCAACTTTGGATGTTGTCTAGATACATTCAACATCGCCGGTCGGGTGTGGGCCGATCCCGCAAGTCCTTCGGGGAAGGTCCCTGACGCAGATGCTGTGCTGGCCCATTCGTTGGATCGCCTTGTCAAGACCATCGACGTGAAAAAGGTCTTTTATGTCCAAGTTGTTGATGCAGAAAAAATGGAGCAGCCATTGGTCCCCGGCCATCCGTTCCACGTCGATGGCCAGCCGGCACGCATGAACTGGAGCCGCAACGCGAGATTGTTCCTGTACGAACAGGACAAGGGTGGCTATCTCCCTGTAGTCGAGGTGGCGCGAGTAATTCTGAAGGAGCTCGGATTCGAAGGATGGGTGTCAATGGAATTGTTCTCCAGAACCATGGCAGATCCGGATCCGAGCGTGCCACAGAGTCATTCCCAGCGAGGTATCCGAGCCTGGCAACAGTTGGCCAAGGAGTTGAATCTATAATCACGATCATGATGGATACGTTGACATCAACCATTGTCTGAGACATGTTGCAGCTGAGCAAGGAAGTCTGTATCTAGATTCCCTGCATAGAACCCCAAGTTCTCGGCAAATATGGGCTCGTTTCTGTAATGATTAGTATGAATAGACAATAGCCGGAGTATCGACATACCTTGTTTGTGGAATAGAAGCCACCATTTCCTCAAAGAGAGCATCGAAGTCTTCAGGCTCCTGAGCCTGTCTTTCGTTTCCAGTATCCATAACACCAGGAGTCGTGGGCAAGCCGGGGATGGCCATTACTTGATCTGTTACCACTGTATTCCCCTGGGCAAGATCAAATCCACCGTAGAGAGTGCCTTCAGGCGCCAAAGGCCGCTGGGAATGGTGTCGTGCCACTGGGATGTAAGGCCACTCAAGATGATTCCCCACGGGCAACCATGTAAAACGTAGCGCCTCACTTGGAGTGCCACCCTCACTACTTCGCTTGAGCTTCTGCATATGATTGATCAGTCGACTGCTCAGCTGCTCCATTCCCGGCCCCAACATGCTAGGAGCACTCTGTAGACACCGGTAGGCCTGAAAGGAAAAGCAGCGAAGCAGCGGAGATGAGCCCGCCATTCCAGTGATTTCTGTATATGCATCCAGTATCTCAAGAGTAAAGCGCAGGCTAGTCAAGGCCAGCGGCTTGATGGCCGGATCGAACGTCTTGTGCTTCAGCGCGAGAGAAAATACCACGAAGGCTGTGGTTAGATGTAGCGTAAGAAGAGGAGGGCTTGCAAACTCAAGACCGCGATAAGGCCGCCTAGCCGTCACAAGGTCTTGCAAGTTCCGTAGCTCAACTATGAGCTCCTGGATAGGGAGGGTCCCAGATGGATAATAGAGTATCTGAGTAAGAAATCGCATCAGTCCATGAATAAGGTTGAGACTGCTTAGAGCTCGCAAGGGGCCTTTGGTGACGACACTGCCTCCTGAAGACTGGTCAGGTCGCAGCATAGACCACAGCTCCCATTCGTCCACATCGTCCTCGCTCACTAAGGCACACTGTCGCAGATCATCAAGCGAGGCACAAGGAGCTTTCTCCAGGATTGCCGAAGTAAGATTGTCGATCAAGATGCATCCATGCCGGATGTGTATGTAGCGAGCGCACCTGACAGATTCAGGAAGCATCTCGAGCATCCTCGTGGCTTCGCCAACTAGCACCCACGCAAGACGAAGATGGCCCACCCCCAGGTAAAGGAGGGTGACGATCAACAGAGATTGAAGATGGCCAAGCTGCAGCCGGTCAATGTCCCTCAGGACTTGCAATCGGATGGATTGAGCAATCTGCTTTGGGTCGACCTGGCTGCCCCGACCCAGTGTATCATGCATTGCCGATGAATAGGCGACAATGGCCCATAACACTAGACGACAGGCAGCGTCTCGAGCCGACCATGACGCATCTGGAGGGGTGTGCAGGACGCGGAGGACGTCCCGACGCTCAACAATGGGGAGCCAGCTGTGAATATGGGTGAAGTAGAACTGCATCAGCTGATCGGCATTACTCGGGATGGGTTGATTGAGGTATTCTACTGAGACAACCTCAGATATCCCGTGCCTGCCAGGGGTTCTTTCCTGGGTAATGCCCTCTCCTTCCTCTCCTCTTCCTCCTCCCTCTTCACCATTTTCACATCCTCGTGATGCAGTTTCTGCATGATCTTCAAGCTCGCTACTCGATTCATCCTGTGAGTCTGGATTCAGCACTCGATACACGTATCTGGCCAGCCTGGACTGTCGCCCACGCTCTGCCAATTCACTCGCCGGTAGCTGCGTCTTGCACTGAGGGTCGCGCAGGAAGCGTCGCAAGACATCCTCATTACGAGGGAACCGCTCGAGAAAAAGCCCCAAAGTCACCTCTAAACTGCGAACATATCCCGACTGCAATCCCCGGTGCCGACTGATGTTTTCATACGTGCAGGTCCTGCCAGCCGAGTGGCAGATGGCGCAGACTGGCTGGTCTCCGTCACATTTGGATTTTCGACGCCGACACTGATCACAGGCGCGAGCGATGCGCTGGCGCTTCGATGACCTGGATTCAGGCATATCATATGCCGTTATTAGCGGCTACTGGATTTATCCGATGGTTTCTCCTTTTTCACGATGCATATTCTTGTGGTGCAGTTGAGTTTCAGTCTGGATCATGTGATCGGCAAGGAATTTACGCGGTCTCACTTTGACTGTCCAGTTCGTCCGCTCACTTTGCCACAGCTGAAGCAGCCAGCAATGACTGAGATGCTGGAATTTGAGCATCTCTACCATAGCAGGCTCAATGTCTAGTCTCAGCTCCCCTTTGACACCATGCGACCGCCTTGTATCTATCCCTTGCCGGCGGTACAGTGCGGACGCCACCCTGCTACTCGTGGGATTCGTCGGCGCCGGAAAGAAAACCCTAGGCATCATTGCATCGGTCGCGCTGCGTCGCAGGTTCATTGATTTTGATGCTGTATTTCGCCAGGAGGTGCACGTATCTCCTCAGGATTACATTGCGCACAACGGTTCTGCGCGATACCGGGAGCTGGAGCTAAAATTGACTCGCTCGTTGCTAGAGAAATGCTCTACAGGATGTGTAATAACCATCACTGGTGTGGGATGGTCAGCG